TGCCTTGAAGAAGATTGCCATTGAAAGGAAATTATTTGTTCTTAGAAGAAATCACTGGAATAGCTCCCCAGTTTAACTGCATTTTCATATGAATTCAAACCTCATCCTGGGTCAGACTCTCCAGGAAAACTTTCTCCTGCCTTCTGTAGCATCCATTCATTCCTTGCTGCCTTCATTTTGCAGCTTTAAATGGCAGGTTCTCTGAAAAGCCAGCTATTTCAAAGCTTTATCAAATAAAGCTTTGCATAAATTACTGAGCTAGAAATTATGCTGGCTGTGCCCAGCTCTGTGCCTGGATGTGGGAATACTTGGCACTGGGTGTGGAATTCCAGGGGAAAATTACCCCTTTCCTTTGCCTGAGACCCCGCTGGCTCAGCAAACTCAAAGAGCAGCAAGAAGGAAAACTGCTGCAAATGAGGAGGCGCGGAAATCTCCGGCTTCCCCTTTTCCACAGCTCCGGAGAACACATCCCGAACGACTGTTGAATATTAATAGGCAGCGTAACTGGTGCAGTATTCTGCTAACGATGGGATGAAGATGCAGTGTGGCTTCTGGAGACTACATGTCCCAGCGTGGCAGGGGGGAGACAGCAGGCCGTGGAGCAGCACTGCATGCTGGAACTTGTAGTACCTTTAAAATGCATCTGCATGGAGTTGGGGGGTGCGTTCAGTTCTCCTCCTCCTGGGGTAGGATGGGGTGCTACTGGAGCCGATGGGCCCCAGGCTGTATTATTTTGGATTCTTAATTTTTTAATCTGTTTTTGCAAGCTTTAGCTAATATAATACTGACAGCGTGACGCTTCTAAGCAGCAAAATCATTGCTCTGCCTTTCACCAGGAGACAACCCACTGCCCTCTGTATTTAGATTTCTGGTCTAACGTGTGTGCAGAGCTGATTTGTCCATAATTGTTTGCTTTCCTCAGAGTCTTTTGAAGTTTATGTCTCCAAGCCAATTCCTTATATTAAAAATAAATTCTTCCAAGCCACCAATAAAATGTCAACTGTGATTAAAGCCCTGAGTCCTCATTTTAAGACTTGTCTCCGAAGCAACGTGAGGTCACTCTATGAGTCAGCATTGGAGAGGACCGTTATTTCCGAGAGCATGGGCAAAGCCCAAAGTTCACAGTTGCCTGCTTGAATGGTTTCACTGCATTTTAAATCGCTTTATGTTGCGCCGAAAGAAATGTAAGCTGCAGGGCCTGTTTGACACAGAATTCACCATAGTTCAGGCACCTCAAATCTTGAAAAAAATCCTCTATATTATTGTAGGAGTTGGTATTTCTGGTAGGAGAAGTTTTGCGTCCTATGTACTAAAGAGGAGGGTGGGGTGGGAAGCTGTGCTGGAGGCATCAGCTTTCAACTATGTTCCGTTGAAATAAAATTTGGGAACTGTAGAAATCTCTGGGCAGGGGCTTTGTTTTTTGTATAGTGCCCAGAATAGAGCCGAAGTCTGATAGGACTTTCTGGACACAGGAATCTTATTTAGTTTAGTTTACTTTATTAAAATATTAACAAAAATATAGCTGGGCATTAAAGCTGGAAGTACAAGCCCTGAGAGGTGAGGAAATGCTACTTTTGAGATTGTCTATGCAGCCTGTTTATCCTTTTTGTGCACATTAATTATAACAGTCTTTAATTACGCGATCACTTGTCTTTTGTCGCTCTTCCTCCCTGTTTGATGCGGTGCACACCGTGAGTGTTGCAGGGTAATTAATCACACTGGAGCAGCGAATAACTCAGAGCAGGATTCTGACTCCAGCCTCCATGTGTCAATCTGGCCTCTCTCCCCATCCCTCTCTCTGCCCTTTTCCTACCCTCCCAATTAACTCCTGCCTCATTTCCTCGCTCCTCTGCATTCAAATCAAGCCCCTTTGTCGCCTGGGTGTCCGTGGGGTCTGTTTGTGCTGTGCCAAGGAGGGGAAGGAGGGGTGGTCCTTGGGGAAAAAAGCCTTGCTGGCCTTCTCCACCTGCAGTGCGGTGGCAGGAATTGGGGTCATTTACCTGCCAAACACCCCCCAAACACACTCCAGCGGGAATTCATAGAATCATAGAATGGTCAGAGTTGGAAGGGACCTTAGAGATCATCGAGTTCCAACCCCCCTGCCCTGGGCAGGGACACCTCCCATCAGACCAGGTTGCCCAAAGCCCCATCCAGCCTGGCCTTAGACACTTCCAGGGATGGGGCGCCCACAGCTCCTCTGGGCAACCTGTTCCAGTGCCTCACCACCCTCACAGGGAAGAATTTCTTCCTAATATCTAATCTAAATCTCCCCTCTTCCCACTGAAAACCTTTACCCCTTGTCCTGTCACTAGACTTCCTGACCAAGAGTCCCTCCCCAGCTCTCCTGTATCTCCCTTCAGACATTGGAAGGCTGCTATGAGGTCTCCCTGGAGCATTCTCTTCTCCAAGCTGAACAACCCCAACTGTCTCAGTCTGTCTCCATAGGGGAGGTGCCCATCCCTCTGATCATCTTCGTGGCCCTCCCCTGGACCCGTTCCAACAGGTCCATGTCCATCCTGTCTTGAGGACCATTTTATTGTTATCAGCGGTTTGAGCAGGTATGAAACACGTTACGAATTTTGACAAGTTTCATGTTGCCTCCCCCTTCCATCCTCAGGCTTCCCAACAACCCGGGCTGTGATTTTTTTTTGGTTAAGCATCAAGATCTCCAGTGCTTCTCTCAGGAGCGTTTGTTGGAACCTGCCTCCCCCTCTCCCGGGCCGGACCGGACCGGGGGGAGCAGCGGGGACCGTTCCGGGCTGCGCTGCTGCCGGGCGGGCTGCGGGGGGAGCCCGGGAGCAGCGCGGGGCTCCGGCTCCACCGGGCGGGCGGGCGGGAGGGAAGGAGCCACCGCAGCCCATCCCGGCAACGCCGTTCCCCGCGGCTGGAATCCCGGCTCCGCGCTCCCTCTCCGGGGAAGGAGAGAGAGGGAGGGAAGGGGCTGCCGAGCCGGTTCCCGCTCCTCTCCCCGCACCGCCTCTCTTCTCCTCTCCTCTCCCCTCTC